ATTATGGTTTAACTACTCGGACACTTATTCCGACCCTCTTGCATGATGGCAGATATGTAATTATGGTGTTTACTTGCCATTTCTTATGCATTAGGGTTTAAACAGTCGAGCACTTATTCGGACCCTCTTTGATGATGGCAGATATGTAATTATGGTGTTTATTTGCAAATTTCTCTTGCATTAGGGTATAAATGATCGGACACTTATTCAGACTCTCTTGCTTGATTTCAGATATGAAATTATGGAGTTCGTTTGCGATTTCTCATGCATTAGGGCTTAAACACTCGGACACTTATTCGGACCCTCTTGCATGATGGCAGATATATAATTATGGTGTTTACTTGCCATTTCTCATGCATTAGGGTTTAAACACTCGGACACTTATTTGGACCCTCTTGCATGATGGCAGATATGTAATTATGTTGTTTATTTGCCATTTCTCATGCATTAGGGTATAAACACTCGGACACTTATTCGGACCCTCTTACATGCTGGTAGATATGTAATTATGGTGTTTATTTTCCATTTCTTATGCATTAGGGTATAAACACTCGGACACTTATTCGGACCCACTTGCATGGTGGTAGATATGTAATTATGGTGTTTATTTGCCATTTCCCACGCAATACGGGTTAAAGACTCAGACACTTATTCGAACCCTCTTGCATGATGGCAGATATGTAATTATGGTGTTTATTCGCCATTTCCCATGCGTTAGGGTATAAACACTCGGACACTTATTCGGACCCTCCTACATGATGGCAGATATGTAATTATGGTGTTTAATTGCCATTTCCCATGCATTCGGGTTTAAACACTCGGACACTTATTCAGACCCTCTTCCATGATGGTAGATATGTAATTATGGTGTTTATTTGCCATTTCTCATGCATTAGGGTATGAATACCCGGACACTTATTCGGACCCTCTAGCATGATGGGAGATATGTAATTATGGTGTTTACTTGCCATTTCTCATGCATTAGGGTTTAAACACTCGGACACATATTCCGATCCTCTTACATGATGGAAGATATGTAATTATGGCGTTTACTTGCCATTTCTCATGCATTACGGTTTAAACACTTGGACACTTATTGGGACCCTCTTGCATGATGGCAGATATGTAATTATGGTGTTTAGTTTCCATTTCTCATGAATTAGGTTTTAACCACTCGGACACTTATTCGGACCCTCTTGCATGATGGTAGATATGTAATTATGGTGTTTACATGCCATTTCCGATGCATTAGGGTTGAAACACTCGGACACTTATTCGGACCCTCTTCCATGATGGCAGATATGTAATTATAGTCTTTACTTGCCATTTCTCAGGCAATAGGGTTTAAAGACTCGAACACTTATTCCGACCCTCTTGCATGATGGCAAATGTGTAATTATGGTGTTTGCCTGCCATTTCTAATGCATTAGGGTTTAAATACTCGGACACTTATTTGGACCCTTTCGCATGATGGCAGATATGTAATTATGTTGTTTACTAGCCATTTCTAATGCATTAGGGACTTAAACACTCGAACACTTATTCGGACCCTCTTGCGTGATGGCAGATATGTAATTATGGTGTTTATTTGCCATTTCTCATGCATTAGGGATTAAACAGTCGGTCATTTATTCGGACCCTTTTGCATGATGGTAGATATGTAATTATGTTGTTTATTTACCATTTCCCATGCATTACGGTTTAAAGACTCGGACACTTATTCGGACCCTCTTGCATGATGGCAGACATGTAACTATGGTGTTTAATCGCCATTTCTCATGCGTTAGGGTTTGAACACTCGGACACTTATTCAGACCCTCTTGCGTGATGGCAGATATGTAATTATGGTGTTTACTTGCCATTTCTCATGAATTAGGGTTTAAACACTCGGACAGTTATTTGGACCTCTTGCATAATGGCAGATCTGTAATTTTGTTGTTTACTTGCCATTTCTCACGCATTAGGGCTTAAACACTCGAACACTTATTCGGACCCTCTTGTGGGATAGCAGATATGTAATTATGGTACTTATTTGCCATTTCTCATGCATTAGGGTATAAACACTCGGACATTTATTCGGACCCTCTATTATGATGGCAGATATGTAATTATGGTGTTTATTTGCCATTTCACATGCATTAGGGTTTAAACACTCGGACATTTATTCGGACCCTCTAGCATGATGGCACATACGTAATTATGGTGTCTATTTGCCATTTCCGATGCAATACGGTTTAAAGACTCGGACACTTATTCGGACCCTCTTGCATGATGGCAGATATGTAATTATGGTGTTTACTTGCTATTTCTCATGCATTTGGGTTTAAACACTTGGACACTTATTCGGACCCTTTTGCATGATGGTAGAAATGTAATTATGGTGTTTAGTTGCCAATTCTCATGAATTACGGTTTAAACACTCGGACACTTATTCGGACCCTCTTGCATAATGGCAGATATGTAATTATGGTGTTTACTTGCCATTTCTTAGGCATTAGGGTTTAAACACTCGAACACTTATTCCGACCCTCTTACATGCTGGCCGATATGTAATTATGGTGTTTACATGCCATTTTTCATGCATTAGGGTTTAAACACTCGGACACTTTTTCGGACCCTCTTGCATGATCACAGATATGTTGTTGTGGTGTTTACTTGCCATGTCCCCTGCAATAGGGCTTAAACACTCGGTCACTTATTCCGACCCTCTTGCATGATGACAGATATGTAAAA